TTGCGACGACCCGTGCTGCAGTGGCGCTCGTTGCACCGGCTACGATATGGACGAAATTGTGGATCTGCTGCACGAGGCTGCCCTGGTGCGCTAATACGTCGGGATCTTCAAACACGCCTTGCACAGCTCACGCCCTGCTCACGTCCGCTGTATCGCAGCGCGCCTGCGGCGACGGGAAGCTCATTCTTGTAGTGCACGATTTTGGCGCAATCTATGGTGTGCTCGCCAGCAGAAGCACGGGCAGCCCGGACGCAACCAGTGATCGCGGGGCACGTGCTGCTAGGCATGCTGCTGGCCGCACGCTTCCCTGAACTTATCCGCTGCGTGATCGCGCTAGATATCGGGTATATCGAGCTTGCTGGCCTCGCAGGGCCGCACAGCTGCCGCGGCCTGCGCAACCTCTGCTTCTTCGGGGCGATGTATCAGTGGGCGCTCTGCTTGTGCTGGCTGCTTCAGCTGCTCCCTCTCATCGGCCACTTGATGCGCGCGGCCTGCTTTTGTTGCCGGCCAGCGTCGTGCTACAGCTACTTTTATCTGCACACCCGTTGCTGCTACGAGCCGGCATGGCGAGAGAGCATCGACTGGACGCGCTACCCGCCCCAGCCGACGCTGTTCTTGCATGCCGCGTGGCTTTGGCCGCTGAGCAAGTTCCTGCGCTTCTACGACGAGGCGTGGGCACGCGGCCTCGTGACGCGGGGCGATGGCTCTCGGGCTCTGCGCATGAGGGGGGACCACTACTTCTTCACGAGGCGACACCCCTTCCGCATTTTACCCAACGACCTGGCGGAGGTCTGCGCCGCAATCGACGCCTTTCTGGACGACGTCCCGTTGAGCGCCGCGGGCTGTGGTGTATAATGCCCGAGTACGACTACCTTTACGGCTCTATAAGACGTCGAAAAGAGGACGCTCGGCATACTGCACCAGCCTGCAGCCTCGTGCCAGTCAGAGCCACGGCCCACGGGGCCACGGGCTCGTGTTCTCGTCTTTTTCTGCATTCTGCAGTGCACTGGCGGGCATATTTCGAATGATATATGTCAGAGAGGCTAAAGGGACGTGTCGTATGTCACGCGCGCCCACCCAGCGAGAGGTCCAAGACGTTACCCCCACGGCTGCCACACCGAAATGACACCACACGAGATCCGCGCTCACACACGTTTGACGATCACTCCGCCCCTCTCTCGCCTCCCCGCCCCCGCGCCTCGGCGCCGCCGGCCGCGCCCGCGCCCTCTGGCGGGGAGAGGGAGGCGCGCTGCGCCTGCACCCAGCCGGCTATCTCCGGCCGCAGCGTCGCCGCCTCGTCCAGCGCCGCCTCCGCCTCCGCGGCGAGCCCCAGCGCGGTGTACACCTGCGCAAGGCAGAGGT